AAGCTAATTTCTGGAAGCACACTAGACAAGTCAGACATGAGATTAAAAACTAAGATTAAAGAATATTTATAAAATATGCAATAATTACACTAAACATGTATATTTCATTTTCATCTATATGAAAATGAATATAAATAGATAGATAAAATAACTAACTAAATAAATAAATATGATAAAGTTTATTTGGAAATAGGACATATTTTTATGAGCATGAATTAATGGAAGAAAATAACAGGGTTTTTTGTTTTGTTATTTTTCTGTGTGTGTGTGGGGGATGTTGGAGAAACAGGGTCTCCTATAGCCCAGGGTGACCTTAAACTCACTATGTAGCACACAATACCCTTGAACTTTCTGAATGCTGATAATTCAGGCACTGTCACACTGGTTTTATGTGGGTTGGGGATTCAAACCCAAGGCTTCATGTATACCATGCAAGCATTCTACCGAAGCTCTATCACTAGTCCCCAGTTTCACTATGACATTTTCATATTCATATATAATGTACTTGACCTTACTTATCAACGACACTGGCTGTCCCTTGATACAGCATGTGCTAATTTTTTTGTTTACTGCTGTGTTTGTACATTATTTGAGGAAAATACTTGATATGGGAGCAGTAACTATAAACAGGAAATACTAACCAGGAGCTCCTTAGGTCCCGCTTACCAACAGTGACTCTCCACTCACTGTGCTGGATCTGATTTCTTTATTTCTGAGACACACATCACTGTACTTCTCTGGAGAGCTTACCAGAAAAAGCTGGCATCATCAAGGTAGTAACAGTAGTGGACGGAGGAGTTGAGTCACAGAAAAAGTACTTTAGTGACTATGATCAGCTACAGGCTGTAGAAGAAATCACTCAGTACTACCGTCACCTGGAAAAACACTCACACACTAGCCTCTGGCCAATATCAGAAACAGGCTGAAGGAATCAAGTTAACCAAAGTAGCTTCAGATTCAACCAATCAACTAAAACACACCATGACAAAAATTAGACAGAAATATTTAAATTCTCTTTGAGATTAAGGCAGCAAGGCCACTGATTCCTGTCCTCCTGGAAGCCAGGTATGTATGTGTGAATGCCACCACAGGGAGAGAGCAAAAAGGAGGGAAAAGCGGAGAAAGTGCTCTGGGGAGCCCATGAGATATTCGGGTTTCTTGTGAAACACTTAAGTTACAGCTTAAGGATCTAAAATATGGAAAGAGATGGTTCACCTATAGATGGTGCTTTCTAAAGCTGAAACTAAAATACATTTGAAATTTTTTATTTTAGTATCCAATCTTAAATGGCAATATTACAAAAATCAACCGTCTGCCACATGCACTGAGTAAACACTGGTTTTCTATAAGTTGGTAGGATGCAGAAGTTAATTTTAGTTTGACAAAAGGCTTATGAAAAAGGCAAAAAGAGCAAAGTGGGAGCCTGGGAAGTGGGAGGTACACTGGTGGGGTTTCCACCCAGCACTCGCACTAGAAACTGGCCAAACGCCAATCTTCCAGACACACAACCCGCCACCGCCATGAAAAAAACAACAGGAGTGATGAGGACCTACGGAAACAGTGTTCAGTAAGGACTCGTGGGGAAAGACATCATGAAATAACCTTAATTAAGTTTGTGGGGCACAGGGAAAATCCTAATCCAACTAGGTTTTAGGGAGAAAAAAAAAAGTCACATTCCCAGAAATGTCAAATCAGCAAGACATGATTCGTAGGGCTTGGCTCACTGTACTTCCTCCTCTTCTGTGTCCAACATAGAGAAAAATGTGTGTGCACTCTCTGCGTGTTCATTACTAGCTCACAAAATCCTGTGCTGGATAGTAGCATTTGGTTAACAACAGACCATACACAATAGTGGTTCTTTGTCAGTAAGCTTCTGTGTTGTTGTCACGGACAGAAACAAGGTAAAGGTGGAAGACTCTGATTGGCTCTGCTTTCAAACGGTTCACTACTTCATTGTGGGGAGGACACGGAGAGCAGAATTCACAATATCGTGCCCAAGAAAAGAGGAAAACAAAACAGGAAGGTCCAGGGCAAGACATTGTACTCAGGAACAAGTCCCAGTGATCTACTTCCATGTGGTCCTCCTATCAGAAGTGTCGCTGCATGATAAATAAGGGAATTATCATGACGCAGCGGTCTCTGGAAACAACCCCACAGACACCCAGAAGCGTGTGTCTTACTAATATCTCAGGTACCCTTGATCCAATCAGGTTGATGCTCAAGAGGAACCACCACAGGCTCCATGCCTATCAGGAACTGAAAACTTCCTCTACCTAGAAAAATCACAGCATAAAATGTGCAGCGTGCTGCTGTTAGGAAAGCACATGCACACACACACAATCCGGCAACGTCGAGGACTGGTCACTGGTTCAGGCAGTTACTGCATTACATTTAACATGACTATTTCAGAATGCATCTTACTACTTATTAAAAAAGTTCCTGTCACAGAATCCTTGGGCAATTCTTCGTGGAAGGATTCCAAAAGACATTGTTAGCACAGGAGCTGACAGCTATGTGCATTACCGTTGCCCCTGAAGCCCTTCCAGTGGAAGACAGCGTACAAGTAGACTACTGTGGAAGAGATTGACCCTACATAGGTCGAGGCTAAGGGCGTGTGTGTTTGTCTTAGCTTTTTTTAACAAAAATATTAGTAAAAAAAGATTTTTAAAAATTAAAGGGAAGGGCTTATGGAATACTATTAAAATACTTTTGTATAGATGCATTATTAATGAATATCCTTCTATTTCACAGTTATTATGAATGACTGACTGTTTAAAAGCTCAGTGAGATGGCTCAGCAAGTCAAAGTGCCTGTGGCTAAGCCTCATGACTAGAGTCCACTCCAGGGGATCCACATGGTGTAAGAAGAACCAACTCTTGAGGTAGCACTGTTCCCAATTGTCTGAGAAAACATCAGGTTGATTTCCAAAGTGGTTGTACAAGTTTGCACTCCCACCAGTAATGGAGGAGGCTTCCCCTTTCTCCACATCCTCTCCAGTATGTGCTGTCACTTGAGTGTTTGACCTTAGATATTCTGAGGGTTATATGATAGAATCTCAGAGTTGTTTTGATTTGCATCTCCCTGATGACTAAGAATGTTGAGCATTTCTTTAAGTGCTTCTCTGCCATTCAATATTCCTCTATTGAGAATTCTCTGTTTAGCTCTGTACCCCATTTTAAAAATTGGATTATTTGGTTTGTTGGTATTTAATTTCTTGAATTCTTTATATATTCTGGATATCAGCTCTCTATCAGATGTAGAATTGGTAAAGAACTTTTCCCATTCTGTAGGCTGTCATTTTTTTCTGACAGTGTCCTTTGCCTTGCAGAAGCTTTTTAGTTTCACGAGGTCCCATTTATTAATTGTAGATCTTACAGCCTGAGCTGTTGGTGTTCTGTTCAGGAAGTTGTCTCCTGTACCAATGAGTTCGAGGCTCTTCACCTCTTTTTCTTCCAACAGATTTAGTGTGTCTGGTTTTATGTTGAGCTCTTTGAATGGCAAACAGGATAGACGCCAGAAGCGGTAAAAAAGAGAAACCAGATGGGAGCCTACTACAGAGAGTCCTCTGAAATGATTCAGCCAACAGCGGATCAAAGCAGATGCTGAAACTCACGGTCACTCTTTTGGGCAGAGCACAGGGAGTCTTATGGAGGAAGAGAGGGTTGGGAATAGAGGGAATGGAGGGGACAGGAGCCTCACAAGGAGACTAACAAAACTAAAAGATCTGTGCCCAGGGGGTCTTATAGAGACTGACTCACCAACAGAGAACCATGCATGGAGAAGACCTAGACCCCCTGCTCAGATGTGGCTGCTTGGCAGCTCAGCCTCCATGTGGATCTCTGAGTGAAGGGAGCAGAGGCTGCTTCTGTCATGAACTCAGCTGACTGCTCTCTGATTACTTGCCCCTGATGATGCAACCTTGCCAGGCCACCGAGGAAAAGGATCCAGGCAGTCCTAATGAAACTTAACAGGCTATGGGTAGATGCCAATAGTGGAAAACTCCCCCTTTCACTGGACTATGAGAAGGGGATGGGGGAAAAGGGAGAGAGGGTGGTCCTGGGGGAGTTGAGGGAGAGACCTTCAATCAAGATATATAACGAAAAAATTGTGAAAAAAAAATAAGAAGAATCAACTCCTATTAGTGATTCTTTGACTTTCATATCTACGCCATGGCATGTGAGTGCCAGCTCTGTCCTCAGAAAATAACGTAAAAATTTTGAAAATTTTACCAAGTAAAAAAATCATAGTAAATAATAAATGACTTAGAATAAAGAAGTAAAGTAAATACAAATTTAGCAGTAAATGGAGTTTCCCTTGGACAGGCAAGGTCTTCGTATGCCCCACTCCCTTGCTGACTAGGAACACCTTCAGGAGGTGCTGTGAGTTCCACTCAGGTGGCTGCTGTACACAAGCTCACTTCTCCTGTATTGTTTCCGAATGTGGATGTGCACATAGCACTATGTTCAATGTCCACCATATCCAGTTAGGCAACGTGCTGCCTGGGATTGTAGCTTAGGGCCAGTAGACTATGCCATATGCCGCACTGTGCAGTGGGCTATACTGTCCAGGTTCACGTAAGAACACGCTCCCTACACTCAACAACCATTTGCTTTACACTAAAGGCAGTCAGTAACTATTTTAAGAGCAAGGATGGCTGTTAGCTAGAATCTACTTTAAGATACTTTTCTGTTCCTGGGTAAATACTTATTTTGATTTTCAAGTAAGATAAACTGAAAGTATTTAAAAAATTCTTTGTGCTTTCCTCATTCTAATTTTACAGTGACAATTATTCTCAATACTCTTCTAGAAAAATCAACTATGTAAAATCTATCCATTAGCCATCTAACACAAAATTTAGTAGATTGTTCTATTAAAACAACATTACATGTAAGTTCAACTTTTTGTCTTTCTTTTTCCAAACTGAAAATAATTTCAGTTTACTAACAGATTAATAAAAATGTCAGTATTAAACGTCAAAAGAGACAAGTATTCTGACTTACCCAGATGAGCTGAAGTCCTGAGATGCTATGTTGCCCTCCTACAATTTGGTTCTCTTTTCCCGATGCAGATCATCCTTACATTGATGTAACTGAATATCTGTCTTCTCCAACAGACTCAAATCTCTATAAAGGCAGGGCTCGCTTCTATCTTGATTGCATTACTCCAAGGGCCTTGGTGAATCATCTTTCAAATACATTTGATAAATTGACTCTAAAGAATATAAACCTAAACAAAAGGAGATTCAAGATTTTACAGATATTCTAGAACAAAATATTTCCATTTATAAAGGTTACATAATCAACGAAAGAAATAAAAGTCCACATAGTTAAACAAAGGATAAAGACAGAAACAAAGATTATTTGCCCAAATGACTGACTGCTGTGACAAAAATTAAAGTGTATGTTCTTTAAGCATAATGCCCAAAGCCTCCAGCTCTGGCCTCCTAAAACTAAACTGTGACTCATAAAGGCAAAGCCTTTAACAAAATAACAACTCTTGAAATAGGATTATACTACTATTATAATAGTATATTACTATACTACTGTGGTCTAAAGGCAAATTATTACTGGAAAAAAATAATAAGATTGCTTCAAAACCCATCTTCAGCATAAAAAAAAACTTAGCTTCTTTAACACAGACACAGATATACACATCCATACACTCCAACATCAGCTTTTGCTCTTGATAACTAATGAGAAGAAGCCACATTTTAACATTCACTGATGAAAATGTAAGGTTTGGGGCACTGTCAATATTTGCACAACTGAATTAAGCTATTCATGAACTTGTATTGTAGCTTTAAGACAATCTTCAGCAAGGAAAAAGTTATACTTTTTCTAAATCACATCAAAAGACAAAGGTTTCTGGGACTAGAGAGATGGCTCAGTGTTTCAGAGCACTGGCTGCTCTTACAGAGGACCCAAGTTCAATTTCTAGCATTTTCATTTGGCAGCTCACAACTGCCTATGTAACTCTAACTCTAGCTCTCAGGGATCTACTGTCTCTGTTTTCCCATGGTACATACATTCATGCCCATATACTCATACACAGAAATATACTTGAAAAGATACTTTTAATTTTTTAATTTTTATTTATTATTATTATTATTATTTTAAAGGCATGTTTTTCTGTAGCTCCATAGACCAGGCACCACTGCCCTGGCTAGAATAGACTGTTTTAAATTTAAATGTTATTTATATATTTATTAAAATTTATTCACTTTGTATCTCTACTGTAGCCCCCTCCTTCATCTCTTCCCAGTCCCACCCTCCTCCTTTTCCCCCTATGCCCTTTCCCTAGTCCCCTGATGGGGAGGACCTCCTTCCCTTCTATCTGACCCTAGCCTAGCAGGTCTCAACAAAGTTGGCTGCATCATCTTCCTCTGTGGCCTGGCAAGGCTGCACCTACCCAGAGGGAGGTGATCAAAGAGCCAACCACTGAGTTCATGTCAGAGACAGTCCCTGTTCCCCTTACTAGGAAACTCACTTGGAAACTGAGCAGCCAAGGGTTCAGATAGAGTGGACTTCAGTATTCTCATCCAAAGACTGGGCACCAAGCTCCTATTCCTTCCTGTGTGTTATACACTGCAGAAAACATTAGTGACAGTGTCTCAGGAAAAGGGTGGCAGAATGAAGTCACTGCTGCTGTCTCTAAGTGGTTTCTGAGCTTTCTTACTTAAATTTCTCTCTGGCTGTGCTGTGCACTTTCCCTGACTGGCAGGCTGGCAGTGGCCCTAACCTGTGCACACCTGCACAATGTTCTCATTCCTACTGCTCTTGGCTCTGAGGACTGGTGCTCCAAATCCAACAATGTGCAAAATGAATGATTCTTTAGTGGGCATTTGAAAAAAAAAAATGGGGTTGTTAAAATTATTTTACTACATACTTAAAATTTATTTCGGCATAGTGTTAAATTGCTAAGGTGGCTTTTAGAAGTTATAATGAAAGACTGTAACTTCCAAATAACTTCAGAATAAAAACACTGAAGAATTTGATATTTGAGGACTGTGGTTGGCCACGGAAATAAGAATTGGCTAAAGTGAACTTATTCCAAAAAGCTGTCTCTGGAAAGCAGCTAGTACTGACAACCAGCTCGGAGTCTGCTTCCATTACCTACAGAAACATGAGGAAACTGACATGACAGATGATCCCCACAGCACTGGGCCAAGACACAAGGCACTAAGGTTCTTACCAGGACACGACTCAGAGAAAAATTAATCTGGCCAAATAATCTTAAATTTGTACTTTCCCAAAAATACTTGATATCAGTAAAGTACACAATTCTAGAATATGTGCAAGTAGCATAGTAAGAAAATGGTATCTGCAGCATAAAGCAAGCAGCCATGTTTCCTGAGGTAGCTCGAAACAATAAGTGTTCCAAGGGAAATTTTATGACTTACACTTTCAAAACCCCACATCTCAGAGCTGTGGCTTACACTCTCCCTCTCAGCTTCCCTGCCCCAAAGCTCATCAGACTGTTGGTTCTAACTCCTATGAGCCCTTTTGATTCCCATGTTTCCTCTTCTCTGTTGCCGACGATGGCACAGGCTGCACCATCCCCTGCCTAGAAACCTGGCCGCTCTTTCCAGTCTCTTGTGCGGTTTCATCGTCTACTCTTGCCTCACGTCACCCTACACTACTTGCCTCAGTGCTGCATCCCCGGAGTATGAGTACAGCTTCGTCTCAATACAGTTTAGATATAAATAACTTATTTATGTAAAACACACACACACACACACACACACACACACACACACACTCCCTGTAAAGACAACATGCCCAAGACAACCAGCTTAACAGAGGACTTCTTTATTCAGTCTCTAAGGTTTCAGATGACGTTTAGGTCATTTTGGGGCCTGTGGGAGGGAGTACATTTGTGACAGGAGGAATGGCAGAGAAGGCTGCTCTCCTAATGGTGGCTAGGGAGTGACAGGAGAGACAGACAAGAGGGGGTGGGGGCCCAATATTCCCTTCAAGAGAATGTCCGCACAGTGACAACTTCTGTCTACTAGGCTCTACCTCCCAAAGGTTCTTCTAACGCTCAAGAGTGCTACAGACTGGCCAGCAAAGCTCAATACAAGAGCCCTTAGGCAGCACTAAGACTCAAACCATAAACCGGTCTCAAGGTAAAATCATCCCCTCACAGCTGCCCAGACCCAGACTGGTTCAGACGTCCCTTTTCAAACAGCCAGGGAACTCTATCTTTCTCTCACATTACTGTGATTTTACTTCAATACTGCCTCGTGCCACCAACAGGAAAGCTTTACGAGAATAGCTCACATGCCTTCGTGGTCCACGTCTAATATAACAGAAAGCCCAAGAGGAGCTTGGTCAGTAACTGGCTGTGATACAGCTGACACATGAGAGTCTTTTTAAAGTGTTCCATCTGCATCTAGCATGGCTACATGCAGCTACAGGCTGGGTTTTAGGGTACCCATCTACACATCACAAACCCTCCTTGAAACTGTTTGACAATCAGAATGGGTGTATTCCAAACAGCACCTGGCTAGGCACAGGGTGCTTCATGTTCATCCTTCTGAAGAACTGCCAAGATTTTCTGTTGACACCTCCCATAGAATCCTTACTAGCAGTGAAGGTTGTAGGTACTGCACAGTCCCACAAACACCTGTCTCTGTCCAGCTCTTTCTCATACAGTACCTCATGGTGGCTGTTGTTAACTGACTAGTGACACTGAATGTCTTTTCATGTGCTCACTGGCAAACTGTGAATCTAAATCAAAACAAAACATAACATATGTACATATATTTAATTAGGTTATTTTCTTTTTATTGTTGAGTTGTAAAAGCCCTTCAGCAATTCTGGATATAGGCCTCTTAGAGATATAAGATTTGTAAGATTTCCATATTCTTTTTTATTATTCTAGCTCTAAAGCTTTTTAATCTTGGTGAAACCCAACCTAACACTTTTAGTTTGTTGCTTGTGCTTTGAGTGTCAATCTGATAAATTATTTTGCATAACTCAAAATTATAAAGATGTCAATCCCCAGTTTTTTCTGAGAGTTTTTTTTATATTGTTTACCTCTTATTTTCGTGTCTTTTGGCAATTTCTATATACATTACAGGGGTAGTTTTTGTTTTGCTTTTTTGTTCTAGGACCACTGGCTGAAAAGCTACCTATCTCTATTGATTTGTCTGGGCATCCTCAATGAAGAACAGTACAGCAGAAATGTCAGGGCTCATTTGTACTCTTCCCTCTGCTCTATGTATCTGCTTATCCTTGTTGCAGGACCACGCTGCCTTCTTTATTATAGCCTGTAATTTAAGTCACCACACTAAGAAGGATGACCTAATATTTTTCCCCTGAGACAATTTTGGTGATGATAAGTCCCTTGGATTTCCATTCCAATTTAAAAGCTCAGCTTGCCAGTACATGCAGTATGAGGAAGTTCTGGCTGCACAGAGCTTGCGCTAGATAAGTAGTTAATATGTGCAGGACTGTCAAGCTAACAGTGCTGTTTCCTACCTTAAGAACCTGGAATTCTTGCCTTATTTAAGTCTTTAACTCTCAAATTCCTTTAGCATCTGGTGTTACCATTCTTGAGCTGCTTTTGTTAATTCTGTTTTTGATGCTACTGTGAATGTTGCTTTGCTAATATTATCTTGAGATTACTCAAGGCTAGTGCATAACAATGCAACTGGTACTTATACTGATTTTATACCCTTCAGCTTTGATAATTTTACTTTTTAGTATAACCTTTTTTTTTTCTTAATGAGTTTCTTTTGAGATTTTATAAACAAAATGTTGGGATAATACAAATTGAGACTTCTTTCCTTGTCTACTTGTCCTGGTTAGAACCTTCAGAACAACACTGAACAGAGGTAGATACAGAACAAAAACTTGTCCTTTTCCTAATTTTGATGGGAAGGCACTTTAGTCTCCTAGTACAGAGTATACTAGCTGACAGGTTTTCAGCAACACTCTTTATCAGAGTAAGATGTTTTCTTCTAGTCTTTCTTCTTTCTTTTCACAGGAGGAACTTAGTTGTTATTAAATGCATTCGCTGTGTCTATTAAGATGATATATAGCTTAAAAACATATTAATATATTATGTTCCTTGGGTTCTTTAATTTTGAGTCAACTTTGCATTCCTGAGATTAACCCACTTAGTACTGATTTACAATTCTTCTAGGTACTTCATCTAGTATCCTAGTATTTTGTTGAATATTTTTGCTTCTACATCCATAAGGATATTTGTCTAGTTTTCTT